ATTGAATAATTTTATTAAAGTTCACAACGTGATTCAACGTTACTTTATTTTTATTTTTATTTTCATACGGTTTTGTGTGTTTTACATATGTTTCACACTCTTTATATATTTTTTTAACTTATTACTCCTTTACTTTTCTATTGCGGACACATGTATTTTATCTGCAGCGACTTTATTTTGATCTAATTCTAGTGCAACAATGCACTCAACCAAACCTTTTGCTCTCGATTGCTTCCGTTTTTATCATTTTTTATTATGTATATTAATCTATTTCCATAAGTATATTATTATTACTTTTCGACCGTCCGCTACATACACTCGTGTCTTTTCTTATATGTATATTATTATTATTATATGTATATTTCTTATATGTATATTATTATCTTTCGTTTTTGTCAGCCTTTCCGAAATTGTTTGCGTTCGAATCTTGCTATCTCGATTGACAACAGCTACTTGTGTCACGGCATTGCGATCGCTTCGTTTATCTGTTAGACCGTTGCGCCCGAGTGTGAATTTTCTATTCGCGTCGTCGGCTCTAAATTTGTGTAAATTATTTAAAAAATTTTTTTATATATCTGCGCATTCTCTCACATCATCGTCTCGTATATGCCGATCATTTATAGGCGGAACTACGCCGGTCATTTATAGGTCATTAGTACAAATGCATCATAACATCATGCTCTGTACAATCTGGGATTTCTCAACTTTCGATCGTGTAATCGAGCAGTTGATCATCCTAAGAATTACTGTAACTATTCTTGAAGATGCATCGTATTTTAAGAGACGACCGGCGTTATGAATTTCGATGTTCGCTGCTACATATGAATTTGCGATTCGTTCTCCGTTTAAGTAGATTTATTTGTATTTTTTATCTCTTGCGCTGAGGAAGGCTGAAAGATCAGTCGAAACGTCCGCTTTATGTTACTTTGATTATGTTACATTGATTATTATTAAATTTTACGCGCTTAGTACTGCGCTGTACTCTTATTGCCATTATACCTCATTCTTATATTCTTTTATATCTCTTTTATATCTCTCGGGAGCCTTATCTTATATTCAATAAACTTACATAAATTTTATGTGAATTTTGTTTAATTATGTAAGCGATGAATAACAAAAAAATCGCATAATCTTATCGCGATTGATTGTAAAATTATCGCGATAAATACTCACTGTAAAAATATAAGAATATAGGAAAATATAGAAAAATTAACATAAACTTGTGCACAAAATCAAAGTTTTTAACATTTCTAAGAAATACGCAAAATAAGAGATTTTTCACGCTTTATATTCAGCTGTCATTTCCAGGCCTATTTTTTAAATTAATATTTTTCTCCATATATTAAAAATACAATTTTTTCAACTTTTCATCAATTACTCTCTGTCAATTACTCTCTCACTCAATTACAATGAGATATCAAGATCCGAAAATTTTTAAATTCTATTTTTTATCAGAGAAAAATATTAATTTAGACAGATAGAGATAGATCAAAAATGACCTGGTACTTCTAATATTAAAACAAAATATTGAAAAAAATACTTGCAAACAAATGTCCGAATGATATCATTATAATATAAGCAAAAATATTTTTTCATACGTTTGAACTTGTACTATTCTGCACTATCGAGTGATCTAAGCTTGTATTTTTCGTATATATATATATATACATACGTGTATACACGATACGATAAAAATTATATATTGTTGAATATAACAGAAATAATGTATAATATATAATATATAATATAAAATAAAAATTTTCAAAGAAAAATAAATTATTTACCTTTTTACCAATCCAAATAATATTATTACGTAATATTATACATACTACAACATTTGTGGCGCCACAAATATTATAATATTGTAACATGGCAGCAATATTGCTGCAAAATTCGTATAGGTAAAAGTAAATTAATTTTAATCTTTGTTTAACTTTCTCTTTATCTTTTTCTTAAAAACAAAAAAGAGAAAATTAAACAGAGATTAAAGTTAATCTATACTATAAATAAACATTGAACTTACATATATTTACTTTTCGAGATTGTGTATCATCATTCCTCTCGTCAATCCCTCTTAAATAACTCATATATCGCGATAACGAATGTCAGTCACGTATGTAATATTTATTGTCGTTTCACGAATGAATTGTATGTGGTTAATTAACTTTACGGTTTCACATAAAACAAATTTATTTATACATATTATTTTTTTTATTCCATTCTATAATTCTTCACTATTTAATTAATTTTGCAAATTAATTAAATTTCTAAGATATCTAAAAAAAGAAACAAGGGGCCACATAGAAGGGACCTCATTTTACTGAAGTTAGATACACCCTTGAGATCAGATTCAACACGTCTGCGTGCAAAGTGGAACCATTGGAGTCAGTCGAACAATAGTGACTGACGGTTTCGCACAGGCCCGGTCTTTTTCCGGAACTCAAAGAGTCTTTCAAGCAGAGTGTTAAAAGCAAGATATGTGAGTATGACTCGGTAAACATCCCGCGTCATGTGATCTCGTCTTGGTTGATTTACCGTATGCTTATTTTTTTCCTTTTTCTTTTTTAATTCTTTTCGACTCGAGTGTGACACAACTAGGAACACAAACTGAAAGAAACACAAATCTCTGATTTTTTTCTCTTTGCAGCGAATGTCTGTTTCATTGGACTGAAATATTACGATTTAAAGAAAAAGATTCTTCAGTGTTTGTTATTATATGTCATTGTGTTCTGAAGATTTTTCGCAGAATATTTCTCCATTTCCTTGACGTAGGCGATGTAACTATTTTGTTTTTTTTTCACATGCTGATTTATTACTATGGATATCGTGTGTGTATGTGTGTGTGTGTGTGTGTGTGTGTGATGCAGAATGGTGTATATATGTGTGTTTGTTTGTATGTATGCACATGGCACCAGTAGATAGTAGGAACGAATATTACATCATGTATATATAAATGAATATTATATCATGTATATATGTCCTTTTCCACATGAATAAAATTAATTCTGTCAGAGTTAATTAATTCATGATCGTAATAATTTTGACGTTCTCATAATAGATTTATTTTTTGTAACTGAATTTTTTGCTTTAGTACAGAAATACACATAATAATGTCCATTTCTGCCATGTAAATTAATTTTAATTTTGATTTATCTTATTTTTTATCTTTTTCTAATTCTAAAAATTATTAAAAAAATAAGAAACAAATTAAATAGATTAATTAAGATTAATTTACATTGGAAATTAGCAGTCTATTTGATAAAGATGATATTAAACATTCGAATTACAAATGAATAAAGTCAACAATAAAACACAATAACACTTTCCATGATAAACTGCGTATCTAAAAAAAAAAAATGCACATAATACACAATTTACAATACACAATTTACCAGATCACATACAAAATCAGCACGAAAAATCGCAAAAAAGTAGCCAAAATTGAAAAAGTCTCTTCATATGAGGAACAAATTAATATTATGTACAAATTTATTAATACATTATTAATACATTATTAAATCCATACATGTGAAACATTATATTTCTTTTTATATTAAAATGTTTTTTTTCCTCTTCTACTTTTGCACTGGTTAAATTCTGTACCAAATTTATTAGTGCACAAGCAAATTTAATGCAGGTACAGAGAACAAATCTAATGTAATAAAATATGCTCAGCAATTCTTTCGAATACTGAGAAAGAACGAAAAATTCACAAAAAATGCGTTTGCATTTAACTACGCGCTTCTTTTCCAAAGAATAAAACTTTTGTTTATAAATGAGGAGCAACAATTACAAATACTCAAGTTGCTCAAGTGCTCAAGTTTATTTATCCTTCTGATTTTCAAGGATTCTTGAATTTAAGAGAGAGAGAGAGAGAGAGAGAGAGAGAGAGAGAGAGAGAGAGAGAGAGAGAATATATCGCACGTATGTTGCAATAATTCTCTTTCGAATTCCATTATTATTTACAATTAATCAAAACTGAAATGAGAAGATAAATCACACATTCAAGAACATATCAAGAATAAAAACTAAATAGATGTATAGTTTGAAAAAAAATTTCAAATCAAGATTGTGATATATAATTTTTTTCTTTTATAAAATATTATTAAATTGCACGTAATAATTATATTTAATTATGCTTTGAAAAAGATATATAATATTAATTAATTCTTTTTTCAAAGCATTTTTATTTTTCTGCATATCATGTGAAAGTGAAAAATTATCGGTTTAAGTAAAAAATTACAAAAAGAAATAGAATAGAAAGACTGTTAAAATCAATAATAATTTTAAAATAAAAAATATTAAACAACTTTTTTTTCGTCGAGTTAATTCGATATCAACCTAGCAAATTAAAAATAGACTTTTAAATAGACTTTCCTACGATCCTAAAATTCTTTAATAAATAATTAACAAATATTATTGTTACATGAAATTTTATTAAATCCTTGAAAATTGAAAGAAATTGCAACTGCGCAGAAGAACATAAATGTTAATGCAGTGCATAACAATTAATTCTGATAACACTTTTCTGTTTTTACAGTTTCGCTATAGATAAACATAATAAATATGGATTTATTCGAAACTATCGGCCTGCTATTTGTAATATATTACTCCATTTATGTCGTTTTTCCAAACTTTTTGGATTGCGATTTATTGCTCGCTTTTAAAGAAAAATATGGCAAACCCGTATGTAAGTATTTCATATACTTTTACATATGTCTAATAAAAAATAATAAAAAACTTCCACTCTCAATCACGTAAAACAATTATAACATATATATACCATTATATATAACAATTATATATACACAAAATCTATCATGAGTTCATACTCCTTAAGTAATAACTAATGAATAAATAATCAGTAATAAATAAATTGACAAATTCAACAAAATTGACCAATTTTTTTTTTTATGTTGCTACAGCTTCATTGAAAGGTAAAAAAGTATGGATAACAGGTGCATCCGCCGGTATCGGCGAGAATCTGGCTTATGTGTTAGCCAAAGTGGACTGCAAACTAATTTTATCTGCTCGAAGAGTTGCCGAGTTAGAACGAGTGAAGAAAACGTGTCTGGAAGGTACAATAGACGCAATTGATATCCTTCACGAATTCCAAACTATTCAACGTTACATCAGCAATCCTCGTCAGTCTTGTTAATTAATTGACGGGATGTCTTCTGATAATTTTCAGAAAACAAACGTTTGAGCGATGATGATGTGCAGATCTATCCTATGGACATACTTGATTTAGATTCGCACGAGAAAGCCTTTCAGCATGTAATCGATAAATTCGGCAAGGTGAGCTCTAATATCCTGCTTTCACATTTCAAAATGATAAAACGCTACCGTGCGTTCTCTATTGCCTCCATATATTTGTCTCCATTTTTATCATTCATTTATTTTATTTATTACTGACTAATCCAAAATCTTATGCTTTTTCAGTTGGACATACTTGTTAACAATGCCGGTCGCAGTCAAAGAGCGCAATGGGAGAATATCGAGATAACGGTTGATAAAGAGATGTTCAACTTGAATGTGTTCTCCGTCGTGTCCTTGAGCAGATTAGCGATTAAACATTTTCTAAAGACAGGTGGAGGCCAAATCGTCAACACCTCGAGTCTCGCGGGAATTTTGCCGGTGCCGTTGTCGGCGACGTACTGTGGCACTAAACATGCCTTACATGTAATTATTATCAAAACATAACTTTGTCAAAACATAATTTTGCATTGTCAAAACATAATTTTGCATTTATTAAATATATTTCGTTATTTTGCGAAATTCTGTTTCATCGACAGAGGAATTATTATTTCTATATTTTTGTAGGGTTACTTCAAGCCATTGTTCATAGAGCATCCCGATAAGAATATCAACGTGACGACAGTTTGTCCGGGTCCAGTGCAAACTGATTTTCTAGCAGAGAGCTTCACGGAGAAATCTGGCGAAGTACGTGTCGTAAAAGTCGTTTGTATAAGGTGTTTTACAGAATTTTTTGATATAAGCGAAATGAGAATAAATAAAACATATAAACATGATTATAACATGTGTAAAATAAGTAATGTATTGATTGCCGATGTTGATGTATATTAATTGCAATCTTTCAGAAATATGGCGTAAGAACAGAAGTATCGCAAAATAAAATCAGTGCGGCACGTTGCGCAAGTCTGATGGCCGTTGCAATTGTAAATAAACTGGACGAAGTTTGGATCGCCAAGTCAGACACTTTAAGAATTACATATTTGACCTATTGTTTCCCGAATTTTGCAAAATGGTATGTCTTTTTACATAATATGTTTTTAAGATTTATATTAAACAGATGAGAGTTTATTTTTTTTCTCCAGAAAATTTTTAAATCCATTTTGACAATCATCAATTTGCGCTAAAATTCAGAATAAAATTCTATTTAAAATTTTTATGGAAAACATGAAAAATCAAAATTGCGTGTACACATGCGCGCACACATACATACATATAAAGAATATATCACTACACATTCATACTTAAAATTGAATTTTGTTGGAAACTGTAAATTAATTGAAGCGAATTTTATATACGTAATAAGATCGAGAAAAGAAAATAAACAAATCTTTTGATTAATCTTGTGATCTTCTTGTGATCAATCTTCTTATATCGTATTACTTTGATAATATTTTGTTTTTTGTTTTACAAAGGTTGATAAAGAATTATTTAGGTAAAAAATTCCTAATGAAATTACGAGATGCTAAAGTATCCAAGGAGGATTAATCGATCATTGATAAATGATTCGATAACATTTTCACATCACAGTTTGCCAAAATTCTTAATGTAAACAAAATCTAAATGTAAACAAAGTCATATGAAGACTTTTGTATATGTATATTAATAAAAAATTTGTAAAAAAATTAAATATTGTCAATTAAATATGAATTTCTCCATCTTTGTTATATAGCATAATTTTAAATTATCTTATTTCATCATATTTATTATTAGAGAAAAGAATATATTTTGATTTGATATATATATATATTTTTATTTGATATATATATATATATATATATATATATATATATATATATTTATTTTATATATAT